AACATGAGCCATAAGGTATTGCCATGCGTTTTAGTGGGTTTTTTGATCATGGAAATTACGTTATCACGGAAGTTACAAAGTGTGAAAATCGGCTTTAACGGCTGACTCGGGCTTGCTGTGGCTTAAAAGTCGTTCCAGGGTCAAATGATTGGCTGAGCGATAGCGAAGCCTGTTACTCCAGTGCGGTTGAAAAGTTTTTTCGGTCTGTCTGTCTGTCTGCGTGTGTGTGCACTACTCCTCCTGAACGGCTCGGCCGATCTGGCTGAGACTTTGCAGGCTTATTAGGTATGTTCTTGGCTCGGCACACGCGACATTTCACTATCCTAGCTCAACTGGTCCAGTTTTTATAGCCGAAAAACACCTAAAAAACGGTGAAAAATCCAGTTTTCTGCAGGCAGATCTCTCCCGTCTTGATGGAAGGGGGTCTGGGGGGCCGAGCCCCCCAGCACCGTCGAGTTGAAAAGTTACAAGGGTTAAGATCGTGTAATTTGTAGATGAATCAACTCTATCTAGAATGAAGGGGGGTCCCAGCATGCAACACTTAAGCGGTAACCGGTGGTGGACAAGCATTGCCAGCCGAAGGCAGGCTAGCGCCGCAGGCCAAGGTAGGTACGCCAGGCGCGGATTGGAGGAACAGGCCGCGAGACATCGCGAAGCCTGTTACGACAAGACGCGGTCTAGCGTAAACCTACCTTGTACTCTAAGCCCGACATTTAAGCGGAATTATTTTCACCTAGTGCTGCTGCAACATTGGGTAAAGGGTGCCACGGAAGTTACAGGTAATTGTTGATACACGCCATTTTATAATGCTCTAGCCCGCTTTGAGACCGTGTACAGCATCTTAAATTTCCGCGACCAGTGCAATTATATCCCAGGGACTCCACTTTGATGGCTTGCACTGTTAAAAATCCACTGTAATATTACAACACAATCACCTACAGTAATGCTGTTCAATAACAACCGTATTGTTTTGCATCTGAACGGGAAACCCATCCAGAAACAGCACTTTCATTTCATAACAACTTCCTTGTCGAGTAACAATAATGTAATCGTGATTCAAAACAGTTGTCTTGTCGTTGAACAGGTTTCATGTTTAGAAACAGCCTTTTGCAATCTTAAAACATATATTGTTGTCAGGTTACAAGGGTCTTGTTTAATAACAGCACGATGAAATCAACACAAATGTTGGGAAGACATCGTCCAAGACTCCAAAGAAGTATTGTTTTATTACAATCGAACTGTCAGAAAACATCACCGAGGGCTACAACATGCTTGTAATAAAACGAGTCGTGCTGCTATCAAACTTAACAGCATAAGTGCTGTTAATTTACAGCACTTTTTTTAACAGTGTGTGTCATGGAAAGTTTAAAGTTTGGCTTGGGGAGAAGTCCAGAGCTGCCTTTTCGAAATTTGTGTAGTGAAATTGAATATACGGAGGACATTTTTCGTTGCAGCATAAGTACCTTTGAAAGAAGTCTGGCGTATTGGTCTTCGGTCGAAATTAGCTCGAGACATGCCAAGCTTCGATTCCCCATCGACAGTTGGCAGCATTTTCGAACCACACCGCCACACTGGGGGCGGAAAGTTCGAGTATGTTCTCTTAGGACAATCACGGAAGTTACATTTAGGGCATTCCAAACGCTACGTAGACCAAACCAACGAACGTGAACTTTTCGAAGCGTTTAGTGGGCAATGGCCCTCCCTAACATCAGAAACAAACCCCATGTCGATATCTGCGCTCGTTTGGGCACAGGAGTCAGAAGAAACGAAACTACCCCGAAACGTGAGAATCGCTCAAAGGTAGATTTGTTGGCTGAGCGATAGCGAAGCCTGTTACTCCAGTGGGGTTGAAAAATTTTTCCTGTCTGTCTGTCTGTCTGTGTGTGTACACTACTCCTCCTGAACGGCTCGGCCGATCTGGCTGAGATTTTGTAGGCTTATTAGGTATGTCCTTGGCTCGGCACACGCGAAATTTCACCATCCTAGGTCAACTGGTTCAGTTTTTATAGCCGAAAAACACTCAAAAAACGGCGAAAAATCGCGTTTTCTGTAGGCAGATTGCCCCTGTCTTGAAGAAAGGGGTGTCTGGGGGGCCCAGCCAGGACAAGTGAAAAAGCTACAAGGGTCAAGATCGCGTTATCTGCAGATGAAGGGGGTCTGGGGGCGCAACAAGTTAGGAAAATCGACGATGGAGAAGCCATTGCCTGCCGAAGTCAGGCTAGCGCCGCAGGCCAAGGTAGGTACGCCAGGCGCGGATTGGAGAAACAGGCAGCGAGACATCGCGAAGCCTGTTACGACAAGACGCGGTCTGGCGTAAACCTACCTTGTGTAGGGGAAAGACGTGCGCATTCAGTGTGACCCCTTGGTGAATGAAATTCCGAGATCATGTCTCTCAAATCTGGAGAACAACTTTGAACCAATTTTGGCCCAACTTTGACCACCTATTTGGACTACAAGGAGTGTAGGCACGAACCTCGGAGGGGTCACACTGAATAGGCGCTCATTTTTACTGCACGAATATGTAATTGGTTTTGATCCACTTATCGTACTTTTGACGGGTTAGCTACACGAAGTTTGGACATTTCAGGGTTCAATAACTTTGTTCAAATTTGAACTAGCGTCATAAAAATTTGAGAGGAGCATCATAACTGTGTTCGCAACATGTGTTTCAAATTTGAGCCTAATCCGTTAACTTAAATTTAGGGGGGCAATCGCCTTTAGTCAGGAAACACTCCTCTAGAGAAACATGAATACAGGCAAAACTGCTCTTGTCGCAAGTCAGCAAAAGAGTACGATATTCTCTCCTTCTCAACACAGCCAATCTTTTGCCACCTGTTTGAGCAACCACACTGTTGGTACATTTTGAAGGACATATTTTGACCATCTCGCCTGCATACATTTTTACACTGACCACCATATTTAGCCCTGAACTCTGCTTCTTAATCATGAAAATAATCTGCTTCAGGTTAATGGTTAGCTGAGACGCCTGCAATGAATGGTTTCATGACAAGTGTATCGGAATCACTGAAGGTACTTTACTCCTAATATATCCCGCCCCCTTCAAAAACCCCTATTTATATCTGGACAGTCTTCTCTCTTACTCTTTGGATTTCAGAGGTAGACCACCGCCACCCGTAGATCTCCTTCACCATTCAGCCTGTTTCTGTGAAAGTTTTTTTGTAGACTATGCCAGAGAATGACGATTCAGACAGGTATGTTGTAGCGAAGGGCAGTAGGAAACGTACCCGCCGCCCCGGGCGCCCCAAGCACCAGCACACCAGCCGAACCCAGCCGCCGCCCCGGGCCCCAGTGGAGCCTTTCTGCAAGCGACTGTACTCAACAACTGATGCCAAGGGCCCCTTTTCCGTGTAAATCCATCTTCCCCTTTTTAGCCGTAAACAGATGGTAGGACGAATCCCACTGCCAAGGCAGACGCAAACAACTCAGGGATTTCCCTTCGCGGAAGCACCAATACCGTAGGCTGCCAGGGGCCACTGGCGACCCAGGTATACGCTTCGCGACCCAAGTTCACAGGGTCCTGAGCATTTACTCATGGAAATTACTCTTGGAAGTTAAGGTTTCGACAGTTAAAAGATACACAGACGATAGTGAAATTACATATAATAGTGTCGGCCCTAACAATTTCCAAAAGGAAATGACAAGCAATCATAAAAAGAAAAGAAATGCAGTTGGAACTGTAGTACTGAAACCCACTCATCAGTATTACTACCAGATACAAATGTCGTTGGATATCCTACAGCTGGAGACCTGCCATTTACTCATGTGGTCAAAAACAGGTCACATGGTTGCCGAAATTGATTATGATGCTGCTTAGTGGAAGGAAAAGCGCATAAGGCCAACTAGACGGCATGCAGAACTGCTTTTGCCAGGAATTATCCAGGGCAGAACAAGACGATGGTTGCCCCCTGTTGAAATCAGCTGCAGTGAAGGATACTGATGATGCAGACGCCCTTTTTGGCCCGTCCCGTTTATTTTTTGTAAAAAAAATGACGGAGGGACGGGCATATAGTATGATCCCTGCTGTGCGTCCGTCCGTCCGAGGACTTCCCGTGGTCCGATCTTGACCAAATTTGGTATGCAGCCTCCTTGGGTGACCCTAAGAACCGCCCGGTGGCAGCAAATCCGATCCGAGCCCCGGGAGCGCTGCTGCAGGTGCATCATGGTCTACATGGGGTCGAGGAGGATTTCGGCAACGGATACAGCTAGGAGGGCATGTAGGGGTCTTTTTGGAATCGGGGCGACGAAACAAAACCAACGGTGCCAGTTTCAAGCGAATCGGAGAAGTTTGGACCTGGGTTCAAATCCCAGTGGGGTATGTTTTGGACATTCGTTTTATTCAAATTTTTGCATTGTTTCTGATGTTTTTGAGGGCGCCGAAAATAACATTCATTTTGACCCCAGACTCAGGTTCAAACCCCATCAGGGTTAAACATAGGCGAAATTCGCACATTCCCTGATGAACGGGACGGGCCAAAGTTGCCGATGTATATCGCTACTTTTCCTGTTATTATCTATTAGTACGGAGGTGTTGAATTTGGCATTATGTTATTAAAGACCGAAGATACTCTGCTATGTGCATGCACTGGGGGTTCCTGGCCTCGGTCCGGCCGCGCAAAAAAAGAGTACACCGTTATTAGCAATTGTTTTTTTTTCAGGAGCGAATTGCTTTCCCAAATAGCTTAGACTAATTTCTTTTCTCTTGCACCTGTTTCAGAGCACCAAGACTGCATCAGCAAAGAAGGCCTCTCCACCTCCACCGAAGAAAAGGACAGGACGCCGTCTACGAAAGGGGCCGCGCTTCAAAATTGAGGACGTGTAACGAAGAAAGCAACTGCTGTGGGGCCAAGTCGTAGGTATTTTTTACTCTAATAGTTGTTAGAAACAAACTTGGACTTTAGCTATTAACACCTCTTTCGCAGCGAATCACCACAGTGCTTAGAGAAGCCTTTTAACGATTTTACGTTTCAATCTGATTCCAGAGGAAAACCGGGTACCGCAGAGAGCTGTCATTTCGCTGCCCTTACTGCCCGCACGTCGTCAAGCAGCGGGACGGCATGACCACGCACCTGGCGGCGTCTCACCAGGACCGAGTGGTCCAGCAGCCCAGGGGAATGAAGGGCGCCCAGGCCAGAGTAGTGAACGCCAGCACGTCGGGTCCCCGTGTCCTCGACGAGGGCATATACTCGTCGGTCATGGGAGGACTGCGAGGGATCATGAGCGCGGGGGCTTTCGCGAAGACCGGGACCGCTTTCAAGCAACTGCTTACACATGTGACATCGAGCGTCGGGCGAGCCGATGTCGTCAACCTCGCGCCCCATGCGGAGATTGTGGCTGCGCTCAACTCTGCGATGGCGAGTAGAACCTTGCATTTAGCACCATTTGCATATAGTAGTTGACCATTTCCCTAGATGATTAACTGTAATTTGACATTTTTTTTTTAAATACTTGTGTCAGATGTCTCAATTTATTATTGATTGAGAATGGCCACATAAGAAAACATCATTCATTTATGTTGCTTTATCCTTCATATTTCGTGGACCTTTCGGCCGAAGAGAATACCGCCCTGGCGGCGCTCGCTCGGCTCCCAGTGGACCTGAAGAAAAGAACAGTTTACCGAGAGAGCGGTGCCTGGAGAAAGACTGAGGTAAATATAAATTGAAAGAAAGGTAGAGAAATGAAAAAAAATGCACGTTTTCCCTTTTTTACGGTCAACTGAAAGTGGCCGAGGACTTACGACAGTGGGAGGTGCCAAAAGGGGTTAGTGACCCCTTTTGGCTGAGCGATAGCTAAGCCTGTTACTCCATTGGGGTTGAAAAGTTTTTCCTGTCTGTCTGTCCGTCTGTCTGTGTGTGTGTGTGCCGCACTACTCCTCCTGAACGGCTCGGCCGATCTCGGTGAGATTTTGCACACTTCTTGGGGATGTCCTTGGCTTGGCACACGCGAAATTTCACCATCCTAGCTCTACTGGTTCAGTTTTTATAGCCGAAAAACACCTAAAAAACGGCGAAAAATCGAGTTTTCTGCAGGCAGATCACTTCTGTCTTGAAGAAGGGGGGTCTGGGGGGCGGGGACCCCCAGTATGCATCAAGTCAGAAGTGACCGACGATGGACAAGCCATTGCCTGCCGAAGGCAGGCTAGCGCCGCAGGCCAAGGTAGGTACGCCAGGCGCGATTGGAGGAAAAGGGAGCGAGACATCGCGAAGCCTGTTACGACAAGACGCGGTCTGGCGTAAACCTACCTTGTTTAACTCTAACTGGAAATAGCAGCCACCATCTGCACCCCCGTTTTGCTCAAGAGTGTTCTGAGGGCAAGGTTCCCGGCTATTTCAATACCGTGCACAGCAGCATTACAACGAAACTGCATACATTTTTCAGGCCTTCATTGTGGCAAAAGCTGTCATGCAGAGCAAGACTAATTGGCTGAGCGATAGCGAAGCCTGTTATTGGCTGAGCGATAGCGAAGCCTGTTTTCTCCCGTGGGGGTTTAAAAGTTTTTTCTGTCTGTGTGTCTGTGTGTCCGCACTACTCCTCCTGAACGGTCGGCCGATCTCGGGAGATTTTGCACACTTTTTGGGTATGTCCTTGGCTCGGCACACGCGAAATTTCACCATCCTAACTCAACTGGTTCAGTTTTTTAGGCGAAAAACACCTAAAAAGGGAAAAATAGAGATTTCTGCCCGGTGATTACCTCTGTCTTGAAGAAGGGGGGTCTGGGGGGCGGCCCCCCGCCCCGACAAGCTAAAAAGTGACAACGGTCAAGGGCGTGTTATCTGTAAATGAAGCAACTCTATCTAGAATTAAGGGGGGTCGGGGCGGAGCCCCCCCGCATGCAACACGTAAGAAGCATCCGACGATGGACAGCCAATGCCTGCCGAAGGCAGGCTAGCGCCGCAGCCAAGGTAGGTACGCCAGGCGCGGGTTGGAGGAACAGGCCGCGAGACATCGCGAAGCCTTTACGACAGACGCGGCTGGCGTAAACCTACCTTGTATAAATTTTTTCCGTTGCTGGTAACCAACTTCCGGAAATACCATTCGATTCCCTTTTAAAAAAAAATCAAAAAAAGGGAATACACTTTGTAAGCTCCGACTTGTAAAAAAAAGTTTCTGGGTCATTTAAAGTAGAAAAATACAAAAATTTGAATTGTTTTGAAGCTATGCACAAGATATAAGCATGCCAGAGTAAAGGCTGGGGTCTCAAAAGATGCGGAAATTTTTTTGGCTGAGCGACAGCGAAGCCGTTTCTCCAGTGGGGTTGAAAAATTTTTCCCCGTCTGTCTGTCTGTGTGTCGTCTGTCTGTGTGTGGGTGTGTGTGTGTACACTTCCCCCCTGAAGGCTCGGCCGATCCGGGTGGATTTCGCAGGCTTATTAGTTATGTCTTTGGGTCGGCACACGCGAAATTTCCCATCCTAGCTCAACTGGTTTGGTTTTTAAAGCCGAAAACACTTAAAAAAAAGGCGAAAAACGAGTTTTCTGTAGGCAAATTGCCTCTGTCTTGAAGAAAGGGGTCTGCGGGGCGTAGCCCCCCCCAGGAGAAGTGAAAAAACTACAAGGGGCAAGATCGTGTTATCTGCAATGAAGCAACCCCCATCTAGAATGAAGGGGGGTCTGGGGGGCGGAGACCCCAGCAGCAACAAGTTAGGAAAATCGATA